CTCTTTCAGTTGGAACCTAACTTGTAGGAGGCGCCTCTTTGACTGGGAAATTGAGGAGTATGCAATTCTGTTGGGCCTGCTCCAGAACCAGAGGATTGGCCCAAACATGGAGGATGCTTGGAGATGGAAATGGGAAGCTGATGGCATGTTTTCTGTTAAGTCTATGTTCAGTAAGTTGATAAGTTGAGGTCAGGAAAACTTTCCGGCTAGGCAGATTTGGAGCTCAACCAGTCCTTCTAAAGTGAAGTTTTTGCTCTGGACAATGGCTTTAAATAAATGTCTATCCAAAGTTAATCTAGTGAAACGTGGCATTCAGATTTCGGACATGTCATGTGGCTTATGTGGTGGGGTAGTAGAAACTACAGAACATCTGGCCTTACATTGCCCAGAACATCTTCAAGCTTTGGAAATCAGCTGGGTAATGCCAAATTCTGTGAAAAATCTGCTGTTGTGTTGGCAGATTGAGGGTCTCAGCAAGAAAGGTATCTTGGTTTGGAAAACTATCCCGGCTGCTGTGCTTTGGACTATCTGGATTGAAAGAAATAACAGAATTTTTCAGGGCAAAGCCAAATCTTCAGAGGAAATGGTGCAGAAAGCTGTGGGTAAACTTCTGTCCTGGGTGTTGGCAATGGAGGTGTTTAAAAATCAGAATTTGAGTCTGTTGTTTAGATCTCAGAACTGGTTGTATCTGTAATTTGTGGCCTAGGCTCCTTTGTACTGGTTCTTGTTTTAATAAATTACCTTACCTTAAAAAAATAATGAAACTAGAAGGGAATTAAATGCAAAATTAGGTTTATGGACAAATGCCTTAGTCTTTGAATCCCCATCAGCAATCAGACCCCAGAAACCAAGGGAAGTAGCCATTTTCAAATTTAAGCTGTGCTTGTTTGGAACTATCAAATCCTTATGATCCACAAAACACCACTTTCAACATCCTCATTATGATCTCTCAATACGACCACCTATATCTGAGTTCCTATTATTCCCTAAGGCTACCATCATCAACATTCAAGTTGATTTTGTTGGGGGGGGGTGACCATGCCATATATGGACTAACTAGACAAATAGATGGGGCTGCTACCTTTGGAAATAATCCATTTCTGGGTTGGTTGTTGTATACTAAGGGGACATGCTACCTTAAGTACTATGTGGTATGTAGATACAGATACCCCTTCCAAAATGGCTTGACTTCAGAAAACTATAATTCTTGAACTATTGATGGATTACATGCCTTTTTTATCCTTCGAGGCCTTGACTGGATTTGTTTACATCTGCTTGCTTTTTGGTCAGGTTCATCAGGATGCTTTCTGCCAGCTAGTTGATTTGATAGGAATCACGTCAATTATGGAGGTATGCAACTAAAATCATAATGTTAATCATATGTAGCTAATTGGGATATGGATTTTGCATTCTCTTTGTTGACAGGGAATGGGGAATAGTCCATCCTGACAAACTCTTATCCAGGTTCTGGTTCGACTTGTCAGTGCTGATGATCACATGTATCCCAATTTTGTGGATGTGATGCAATGGTTGGCTGATAGTAATTTGCTGGAAATGATCACCGATAAACTGAGCCCATCTGTGAGTGCCTAAATTGTAACTTTTGTTATGGTTGAACCAAATTTGATGCATGTAAAAAATTAACTGGTAATGTGTATAATAGTTGAATAAAATAGGTAATAAAAATAGTTTTTCATTTAGGTGAAACTTTTCACATGTTTATCCATACACTATATGTTATTCATGTATGCATGTATGCATGCCTTATATTACGTATGCACATAGTTTTCAAGGCGCCAAGGCGAGGCTAGGTGATTGGGGGGCGCCTAGGCGTCGCCTAGGCGATAGATTTTTTATGTTAAAAACATAGATCCTAGGGTAGTTCCCTAGGTACCATAACCATATTTCTTTAATAATTATTCCTGATTTTCATAAGAAAAAGTATAAATTTCATATTAAAGTATAGAAAATCAACATATTCATGATATGGAAGAGGAAAATGTGCTGATTAGTTAAAATTTTAAGTTCTTCCTTACTTATTGGTTCAGGTTTTTAAGTCTTTGAGGGTTTAATACAGCATTTAGCAATGTTTGTGTTGATTAAACCCTAATAAATAAGAAAATAATAAAAAGAACTAAGTATATAAACACACAAAATGATTATTTTAGTTTAATAATGTCTATTTTATAATTATAATCTCAAAAAAGAATGAGTAAAATAGTATTTTATAGTGGGAAGTAGAAAATTGCTAGGCGATTAGGCGAGGCGAGCCTCAAAGGGTACCTTGTCGCCTAGGCGTCACCTAGGTGCCCACCTAGGTGTCGCCTTGACAACTATGCGTATGCATGTTGTGTATGCTAATTGTGGAACTTAAAATAAACCTATTCCTTTCGATCATGACTTTTTTGGCCATGATCAACCATTTACCTGAACAGTTGCGCATAACTTTACCTTGTTTGCTTAGTTTTAACTTTGTCAGTTGGTGCCCTTTCTAAGCACAATGGACAACATATGTAAATGTTTATCAGTTTATGTATATGTGTATTTTCAGTTCACCATTCTGGCTAATTTAGCAATCTGGTCCCTGACGAATTTGTGCATAAATTGATCAGAGTTCTCCTGAAGTTCATGCTAATGCAGCAGAAACTCTCTGTGTCATCACTCAAAATGCTCCTTCAGCTCTGGCCACTAAACTTTCAAGCCCAAGGTTTATGTCTTACATTTGAGATGTTATGCTATCAGAATTCCCTTTACAACTAAGCATTTTATATTGATAAGGTGGTTGTTTCCATTTTGTATTGCTATGCAGCTTTGTTGCAAGAATATTTGGTCATGCACTTGAAGTTTCAGAGTTGAAATCTGCACTTGTGCACTCCCTGTCTGTCTGTATTTCTTTGTTGGATCCCAAAAGAGCAGCTATTTCTCCTTTGTTTAATCCTCTTCGAAGTCAACATTTATATGAACCATCCATTCATGTTAATCCTGAGACTATTAGTGCTATGCTGCCAAAACTTGGTAAGTTTGTGTTATAACAGGTTTGAACTGTGATCCTCAAAGTATTCTAGTATTTTCTTCCAATGGATCTTTATTTTTCATGTATTGGATTGGATAAACATTGACCCCAATAACCCCTCAAGAACTTATTTTCATATTGTAATTTGTGGTTGTTATAGTTTTGTAATTTATCAAGAAAAAAGTTTTGCAAGTGTACCGAGCTTCAAATTTTGGTTGATTGAAGAAATTTTCCCTTTCCCCTTCGCCAATTATTGGACATGTTAGGTAGTTTATGACATTTCTTTCTCTGATTGTACCGTCCTTGTTGTAGTTGATTTGTCCTTTACTTTCCATGTGGATTCTGTAATTTATTGGGATAAAATTGAGCTCCAATAGTATTTTAAGCCTTTCTTTTTCTTTCAGTTCTGTAATTACTGTATGGAAATGGAACAAATGGGAACTTCTATGCTCTTTGAAAATGTTGGGAGTAAGTTGCCCTGCCCTTTGATGGCTCTTTGGTATGAGCTAAAAGTGGTAGTGTTATTAGTTGACTTGCAGTGTATATGTTCCTTGTGGAAAGTTATTGGCATATTTTTTTTTTTCTCAAAAAATAATTGTAGTCAATTGTTTTAAATTGAAGTTCCCTAGGACATAATTCCTTGTTTTCCCCCTTTAGGGCTCTCATCTCTTGTTTTATCTTAACCCATGAGAGAAACTTGAGCACACTGAGCTAGGGTTTTGATATCTGTTTTAACATAACAGAGCTTGTGTATTTGATGCCTACTTTTCGTTCCTGACAGTGAGATGGATTAGATGATTTTGATGTTTGATTTGAGCTAAGCCCTATGGTCAACCTATCAACTACTTATGTTAGTCTTTAGGATTTTGTTTTGGTGATTTATTTATCAGTTATCATCAACTCAGTAAAAATTTTAGTTTTAAAAGGTTCCAAATGAACAATCATTATGATACATGTAATACAACCTTGTTGAAGCTTAGTTATTTGATACCTTGTCAATTTGACTAGTTTGTGATCGATGATGGTGGATTTAGTTCCTGTAATCAATATATCCTCACTTGCATCTCTTTGACACTTTTATTAAATATAATTCTGAATTTCTTTAATGACAGTAATCATCATGCTATTTCCTGATATTACTGCAGGGGACTTGCTTATGCTTTTGAATGTTTCCAATGATGAGAGAGTTTTGCTTACAACATATGGAGAACTTAGGCCTCCTCTCGGGAAGCACCGTCTAAAGGTTTGTTCTCCTGTGAAGGATGATGGGCCTTAATGTTGTATTCCTTATTATTTTATTTGCTAATAGCTTTTTGCTCTGTTAAAGTAAAGATACCATTATAAAGTTGCACAAATCCAATCTTCTAGAGGCTTTTTGGATATCTTCAAGACTTGGCCAGTTGATTTATGTTCCTAGGTGATTTATACCCTCCTTTACCCAGGAAATGAACAATATTGTAATTACCTTTCTTTGACTGTGGAGTTGGATTGTTTAGCTATCCAAATATATAGCACACAAGCTAAGCCCGCTATGTGCCTCAATTTGTTTCTAATATAACTAATATATTTACATTTAAACCATGTTTAATTTACTATAAAAGGTGAAGCAAAATAATGAAGTTTCAGAATCCAAACAGATGAAAGATGGGAAAACATTATAAATAATAGCATTTAATGTGCTACTTTGAGGGTAATTTAGAGAGACTGGGCCAAATGGGCCCTAATATTTCTTTTATGTTCAAGTAATGTTATATCTGTTTTATGTATTAATGGGCCTTTTCTTAATGGGCCTGTTAACCTCTTTTTAAGTTACTGCTGTCTGCTTTGCTGGCCACCCACTTAAAGGGTAGACTTGTAATTAGCATGATTAATTAAGTTTAATAAAAGATTAGTGAAGGGAGAGAGAGCCATCGGACTCTCTTCTTCTTTCTCTTCTTCTTCTTCTATTCTGTTGTAACCTTTTTTTCTCTCACTTTTATTATTTCTTTTATAAGTTTTATATCAGATTTGAAGGATAGACTCACATCTTGGTATCAGAGCAGTTCTTCCTCCACTTTTCTTTCTTTTTTTTCCAATACACCCTTCGATTAGAAGTGTATGGAGAGATAAGCTGCTGATCAGTCAGAGGACTATTTGCCTAGTTGGTAGAGGGTTTAGAGAGTTAGAATCTGGCTGAAAATTGCCAGGAATTGAAGCTGTATTTTTTCTGCCCAAGACCCTAGCTGACTAGAGAGGTTTCAAGTTATAGGTTAAGGAGAAGGATTGAGTGTGGCGTTCATGTCTTGGTAGGTGTATTTTGATCTCCAGAAGTGTGCGGTTGAGATTTGAAGGAGGTTAGGAAGCTCTGGTAGGAGCGACTGCTACTCTCTTCCTCCCCGACAGCTGGGTGCAGTGAAACCCTAGTTTTTCTAATCTCTAGGTACTGTATTGACCTCATTTAGGTCCATAAATATTGAAAAACTAGTTTTTTTATTTTCATTTGATCAATGGAGCAATTTAGAAGTGAAATGAAATAGATGCCGGTATCTGGGGCTGGCTCGGTAGATTCCTTTTTGACTGGTGTGACCACAATTAAACTAGATGGAACCAATTATCTAGCCTGGGCACAATCCATACAGATTTATGTTTGCAGTAGAGGTAAACTAGGGTATCTCACAGGTAGTAAGGTGAAACCTGCAGAGACAGACCTTGCATATGAGAAATGGATGCAGGAGAACTACACAGTGATTGGATGGTTGGTCAACTCTTTGCAGATCCATATAAGTTAGCATTACCTCTGGATGACCTCAACCAAGGAGATTTGAGATAGTCTTACAGAAACTTATTCACAGAAGTTAAATGTTGCAAGAGCCTATAAGTTGAAGAGTGATGTGAAAAATTTGAGACAGGGGGAGAAGAGTGTAGCAATTTACTACTTCATGTTGAAATCACTATGGTAGAAATTGATGTTATGGAGTGTCAGAGACTCAGAATTATTGTGGTTGAGATCACTTTTGGGAGAGTTGGGTATTGACTATGAAAAGCTAATGATGCTCTACTGTGACAACTGGGCAGCTATTGACATTGCACATAATCCTGTTCAGCATGACAAAACTAAGCACATAGAGGTTGATAGACATTTCATAAAGGAGAAAGTTGCTTTAGGGGAAGTCTGCTTGCCATTTATTGCTTCAGAAGAGCAATTGATTGATGTTTTGACCAAAGGTGTTCCAAAAGGAAAACTGACACACTATATAAGCAAGCTGGGCATGATTGACATCTATGCTCAACTTGTGGGGGAGTGTAGAGAGACTGGGCCGAATGGGCCCTAATATTTCTTTTATGTTTAAGTAATGTTATATCTGTTTTATGTGTTAATGGGCCTGTTAACTTCTTTTTAAGTTCTTTTAAGCTATTGCTTTGCTGGCCGCCCACTTAAAGGTCAGACTTGTAATTAGCATGATTAATTAAGTTTAATAAAAGATTAGTGAAGGGAGAGAGAGAATCATCAAACTCTCTTATTCTTTCTCTTCTTCTTCTCCATCTTCTTCTTTTATTCTGCTGTAACCTTTCTTTTTCTCTCACTTTTCTTATTTCTTTTATTAGTTTTGTATCATATTTGAAGGACAGACTCACATTTGGTAAAATTGTAACTTAATTTATCAGAAGAATCAATTACTATACTGACAAATAATGTGGTATTTAATATACTACCTATATATTTTTTGGGAAGATGTTTGGGTTGGTGAAAACTTCCTTAAAGATAGATTTCCTTCTATTTACTCCTTGTCTGAAAACGAAAGAAAAGTGATCTCTTCAGTGTTTGTTGATAACTCCTGGGATTTGGGCTTTGAGAAGAGGTCTAAGGGATTCTGAAATGGGGATGGTTGATGATTTGATCACTCAGTTAGGGGAAGTCTTTCTTGATCAGTCCTGTAGAGATAGCAGAATTTGGAAACCTTCTCCTTCTGGTTTTTTCAATGCTCTTCTTTCTATAACATTTTGCTTCAGACCTCTAACCTTGTAGGGAACTTTCCTTCAAAGGAGGTGTGG